CGACAATCTGCGGAATCCCCGTATTTGATGGTTTGGGTCATGAACCCTTTGACCCTTGTTGAAGGCAGACTGTCCCCAAGAGGAACATAGCAGCGGGCAGCAACCCTGTGAAGCACCAGGCAACACAGTAGAGGCAACACGGCTGCACAACGCCAAAAACGACTGCAGGGAACAACACGGCACGCCGAACTCACAGCATGACACCCAAGCAGTGAAGCAGGAGGCAACACTACCAAGACAACCACACTGCAAGGGACGAGAGGACAAGCGGACCAGCAGCAGAGCGACCATGCTGAGGGGCACAAGGCAACCCCAACACGGCAACCAAACTACAGGGCGCTCAAGCAAAGGACCCGGAAGGCACGACCAGCGGGCGGACGGCAAGGCAGCGAAGCAGCGAAGCACAAGGCAACACCACAACCCAGCCACACCACACAGCGAAGACAGCAGCATGCCAAGAACAACCTGTGAGGTAAGCGGAACAGGCAGCAAGGCAGTGGTAGAGCGCAGACGGGGTCGTCCACACATCCAACACGGAGCAAAGCAGCACATCACCTACTCACATCACGGGTGAACCCCACAGACTGTTGGTTCCCGCCACCCACTGAGCCAGGAAGACACTCCGACGAGCATCCGTCATCACCTACAGGCAACACAGACATCCTGAACCGAGCGCCCCCCTAAGAGTGCAGCTGGCACTCCAAACGAGGAACCACCGACTGTTTGGCACTACTTAAGGTGCTCAGTTGGGCACACAAAAAAATACTTAGAAAAAATTAGAGGGAGGACAAGCAGCAGGAAAAAGACTGGCAGATAGAAAATTGAATATGTGTGTGTGTGTGTGTGTGTGTGTGTGTGTGTGTGTGTGGGTTGGGGGGGCGGGCGACCCCTCCCCCACCAATCAATCAATCAATAAAAAAAAAAAAAGTAAAAACAAAAAAACAAAAAAAGAATTTTTCAAACCCCGCGCAAGTGAGTGTGTGTGTTTTGGGTGTGTGCTCATACGCACGTCATACCACGCTTTAACTGTGGATGGTTGAGCTCTGGTATAATGGCTGGCACACTACGGAATCCTAGCAAGGATGGTGAAGTCTGTCAACAATGGAACGAATTATATGGGGTCACTGGAGCCCCGATGCTTTAGAGTGTGTCATACCCGTGTAAATGGAGCGGTTGCCATACAGTGTGAATGAAAAGTATGAGGAACATATAGGTTGGAGGGTAAGGGGGAGGTGGGAGGGCAGACAATACATAAGCACAGAGGACAAGGAAGGACGGATGCTGGAGGGCACGGGGGAGGCAGAAGGGCAAACACCATACAAACACACGCAACAGACATACCAAGAAAACACAAGTCCCAAGACAGTCGAAGGACCGAAAAAAATAAAAATAAAAAAGGTGGTGAATCTGGTGATGAAAGATTGTTTCGTCGGAGTTGCACCGACTCATCAGGAGGTTGAACCCTCGACAATCTGCGGAATGCCCGTATTGATGGTTTGGGTCA